TATGTACATGTATAAAACTCTCAAAGCAGGTAGGCATGCAGAAATGCACTTTTTAACAGTAAAAATTTCCTAATAGAGTAAGCAAATGAATACAGCGAAACCTAAAAACAAAAGCAAAATCATACCCAAAACAGCAAGACAAACTAAGTAATTACCTGGAAGATGGATTGAAGGTTGAAGGTTGAAGGTTGAAGGTTGAAGGACAGTGTAAGCAGAACGATTCGAAGTGTAAAAGCAAAACCTAAAAACAAAAGCAAAACGCAAAACGCAAAAATAAAACTYAAAACCTGTAGAGCGAAAACCCAAAAGCAAAACCTAAAAACAAATTGTTCATACCTGAAAGCGGCGGTGGGACGATGGACGACGGCAGCGGTGGSACGATGGATTTTGGGCGATGGACGATTGAAGGATTCAGTAGGTGCGACGATGGACGATTCAGCAGGTGCGACGATTCAGCAGATGCGACGATGGACGATCGAATGATTTTGGGCGATTGAGAAGGACGATGGACGATTCTTAAAGGAACCATCTTGGGGAGTGAATCGTCGCCTTGGGAGTCGATAAGGAGAAGAGTGTTCTTGAGGGAGGCGTGTAAAATCGAAGAGTGTTCTTGGGGGAGCCGGGTAAAATGAAGAGGCACATTGGGGGGTGGGGGAGGCATGTAAAAGAGGTTCAAGGGTAATTTGGGTATTTAAAAAGTTAAGACTTTAAGACTTTGGGACAATATGTTTAATAAGGTAGTATAGATATATATAGAGTCAAAGAAAGTGAAATCCGTACCTTAAGCAGAATAGAGAAGTAAAGCACGATCAAACGAGATTCACGGTAAAGTTCGACTTGCTCGCATGCCTAACGAATGCGCAAATCGGTTATTACTTAAACAACGTAAGATAGTATCTTAATTCTACTAATAAACTACTTAGGTCTTACATGTTTATAAACAACTTAAACTTCAAATACGACAGCCGAATATGTATTACGAAATCGACGCAACACTTGGCTTTATATTTCCGATTCGACTTTTAATAGCTTTTGATCCTCATTTTCGGGAGCATTTTTACCCCACTTAGAGATCAGTACAAAAGATAATATCTAAATAAAAGTTGTAGTATGATATGCGATGAAACTACTGGTTCTCGAATCACCTCAGTTGGATAATCCATCTATTTTATACGGATTTTACAAAACAGCAGATCAATCCTAAATACATTGCAAACAGCTCCGAAAACACACTGTTTCGAGCCACTTAAACTCATAACTRGATTTTCGACYCTACATGAAAGATGTAGTATACATTAAGGGTTTTCTAACTRCAAAATATGAACTTATTCCGACTTACGGTTCGTAAGTTATACACTGACAAAGTATGGACCTGCATAGTCGGTAAAATCCGATTCCGGAATTCCCGACTTAACTTTTATAACCCAACTTTCATGATTCGCTACATTTACGGGTTATAAACATGATTGAACATAGTAAACATGAAATATATCATACTTATAACAATATTTATCCGTAAATTTATACATAACATAATTTATAAACCGGTCTAAAATACTAACACAAACACCCTAATAAAAACGAATGAAATTTATACTTTTATGAAGGGTTCGAAGAGTGGATTCCGAATATATAATCGTTACTTCGATTCCTTCAACGATTAAATGTGAAATTTAGAGAGAAGACGAGAGATTTTTAGAGTGACAAAACTGAGATTGAGAAGAGGCGGTTAAGAAACGATGCATGATGATGGATTGTAATTTACTCTTATATATATATATATATATATATATATATATATATATATATATAAGGGTGTGTAGAAAATCAACCATTTTAACCCCTTAACAATTACCGATCGTTACTTAAGTACGATACAATTCGGATAAGTTAACGATAATGTTTTTAAAACCCGGGTATTACATATGGACCGGCACAACCCGGCCCGAAAATTCAAATAATTTTATAAATAATTTTATAATGTATTTTTATAAGATAATGTAATTTTAATTATATTAAAAACGCATTTTTAAAGTGTATTTGAGTGACCTAATTGTAAATTTTATAATGTATTAAAAATATATATCATTAAGAAAATGAAAAAAAATCTTATTTTTTTAATGCCGGGACCGCGACCGGCATCCCATAACCGGATATGAAATACCTTGACCGGTCCTACCATTTTCGACCAGGACCGGTAATGAAAAAGCTTGGGACCGATAAGACCCGACCCAGTCCGAGGCCGGTTTTTGGCCATCACTACCTCCCAGGGACGGAGCTGTCTCTACAACTTTCCCACCTTCAATTTCCACCTTCGATAGAATAAACTTTCTATCCCTAAAAATTCTTTTTTAATTAATTAAAAAAATATAATAATCACACACTTTTAAAAACTATCTACTTATTTATCGTAATCAAATAGTATACAAAGAAATAGGATACGACAACAACCACTATACCAATTATTGGATCTATAACGTTTTCTATATTGCAAGTCAGAAATGCTTATTATGGCTACCAAGTTTTTCTAAATGCTCACCAAATCAACCAGTAATTTGTAATTGTTACAAAAACAAGCAGTCTAATCATTTATATAAGCATTGGTATCTATAGACAGACGTGTAGAAGTGTTATGTTTACTCGTCATCTGGACAGTCGTCGAGAAACTGCCTTATGACATCTCGCTCGTTAGTTGTTAAATCAAAATCATCGGCACCCAATCGCTCCCACAACGCACTGCTCACACTCTCTGGGTCGTTATCACTTACCTGCATCATTTGAAGACTTGGCTTTAATTCATTTAAACTAGAAGTTGAAACAACTATATATTAAGGTTATTGTTACAAGCTTTTTTTTTTTTTGCAAAAAGAAACAAGAAAAGACCTGGATGTAGTTGTTGATCTGGCCATCCTTGTTGGCAGGAGTAAGAAGTTCGTTGTTGTTGGTTACCCAATTGCCATCCACAACGTACTTGTACTCATAACGCCCTTCCTGTTACGAATGAAAATAATAATGGCCACGAGGATGTTTCCGTTTCCAAACCGAAAAATAGATTGAGATGGTATAAATTTGGCTTTTGTCGATTGTTATTTTTAAATTTGTTGTGTAGTTTAATGTACTTGTCTTAATGAAATCTCCCGAGTGTAGAAACTCTTTGTTTCACTCATACATATCGGATGGACCTGTTATTAGTTACAGCAAAAGGCAACGAAATTTGTTTTACTTCATATTGAATATAAGGAATCCTTTATTTTCTGAATCAATGTAACAGAGTTTCAAAATTCTTATTTCATACTCAATTTTACTTCATGTTGTAACATTTGATGACATGGATGCCATGTTTTCAAGTTATATTGATTGAAAGAAAGTATAAAGATGGACCAATAGTTTACCAGTCAAAATATATTGATTGAAAACTTTATATCCATGTCATCAAATGTTACAAGATCAAGGGGTACAAACAGAGAGAAAATATTACCGGCAGATCTCTCTGGAGATTCCATGAGCCTTGCTTCTCATCATATTTCAGTGGAATTCTCTGCAATCAATCAACAAATGTTGGCAGTGAGGACTGCATAGCCTTAACAGGAGTGATTAACTTGATACGTAATTTAATTAACTTGTCTTTTGACTAATAATGATAAAATGCCCCTTAATGTTGCTAACATTGAGAAAACTTATCGACCAAAATCAATGTCATCAATATCATATATGTAGTGATGATGGGCAGACATGTAATTTGGATTAGAGTCTTGCCAACAAAGGAACGTCTATATTTTCTTGGACAACCAATAATGGAAATTGTTGCCCTTTTCTGGGGTAGATGGAGTAATAAATTTGTTACTGCCTTTGATATTAGTTACTACGAAAAATTTCTTTTGAGATGAACATTTTTATAAGCAACTGAGAAGGACACATTACCATTCTGCTTTCCGAAGCAATTTCTGGAAATCTAATGTGGTTCTGTAATAGGGATTGGAACATCTTTGGGTGATAGATGGAGAGTTTGGATTTCATGATTCATACTAAATTCAGTAACTAAATGGCGATGCAAAAAGATACTAAATGAATTGAATTGGGATAGAGCCACTTATAGGTTGAAACTGAGGTCTTCATAGTTACCTGACCCCACCCAATATCGAGTCCAGATATTTCCACCGTAGAACATTCATCGCCCTTCCATGTCAACGTGACAGGTTTCCTTTTTAGGCCGGTAAGCTGTAATAAAAATTTGATTCAAGAGGCAACCACTATATGGTATCAAAAGTGCTAGAAATTATTCCAAGTACATACATGTAAGGAAATAAAAATCACAAGGTTAGTTACTTGTAGATAGGCATATTAATGTCTAAAGCATATTTTTCTTGGATTTATGAAATATGAGCAAGAATGACTCACGATGTCGGCTGTGGCACTTTTTATAGCATCCACTTTGGGAAAACATGGACGCTTACTCTGCATGGAAACGAACAAACATATTTAGATGACATATATTGCACTGTTTTCACATCTTATTTATAGTCGGAAGGAGTTCAAATGTTTATAGAAAACCAGCACCGTGGAGCCATTTCCAATTCTTTTTGCTTTCTCAGACTTTTCCTCTACTCGGGTAATTCACAATTTCTTATATTACATCACATATCTAGATTTTACATCCAGAGAAGAACCAGTACATATTCCAGCTATACTTAAAGTGTTGAATTTTATCAGATGATCTTAATATAGATGATGAATAAATTTACCAGTAGTAAAGTGATCGCATCCTGTAGTTTATAACCTTGAACCCAAAACATGTATGCCAACTGTAATCAACAGAAATCACATTAGCCGTCTCCCATGACATATACATCTAAAGCATTTGTGTGTGTACATTACATATGCACTAGAGTTGAGAAGTAAAACAGATATTCTGTCACAACAGCATGCCAACTTCTTAAGTTTTAATGTTATATGCCCTGAAATCTCTACATGAATGGTGCAGGTGAAATGTGTAATGCAACCTTAGATGAAGAATAATAGAATGAAATAGCTATTAGAAGATGGTTAGATGGTCATTTAGACTGAAGCAATATAGTTCTAGTAACAAGCAGCAAAAGGCATAAGAGTGTTCATACCGACACGTTAAAGGTCTTAAATCCAAGAAGTTAAGATGACATACCGCAGTTGCAGGAGCTCGTCCGAGCCCAGCCGTGCAATGTATATAAGTTATTCCCCCATTTCGATTAACGGCTTTGTGCAATTTGCTCACCACATATGGAAGCCGCAGACGCATATCAAATGCATCAAAGTCCCTGCTCCATACATCGAGTGACACAAGTACAGTTTAAAGAAGGCTACAGAAACAAGGCCAAACAGAATAATGTATCATAGAACAAACCAAACCAACCTTATTTCTGCACGCAAGTGTTGAATGTCACTGAACGTGCTGGCATATTCGCGAATAGCACCAATGTCAACGCTAAAATATCTGGGAAACAAGTAAAGGAAAAATATGTCCCTCTCCAGTTAAAGTGTAATCTTAGACAAAAATTATTGTGTGCATCTAACATCATCTGTATGCAGCATACAAACTTTATAATTGATGTAAGAAAAGCCAGCTAATTCCTTCACTCCATATACAGAGGATTTTTTAAACTAAATTTCCTTCGGATACTCAAGATCTGAATTTTGTTGTAGGCAATAAATTGTTTTCACTCCAATACTCCGAAGCTTGTCAACATCTGCAGGAGTCTGTCATACAAATAAAATAAGTCAGAACGCAGAAGGTAGTCTTGATACACAGAATAAATCCAAGTTTCCGAGAAAGGAAAATCACCTGCAGACATGATCCAACAATTAGATCTGGAGTTATGAAATCGTAGTTCATTCCTAGCTCATGCCTATAAGTCAAGACTGAAATCAATTTATTAGCAACAAATTGTTCGCCAAACTTTGGTCACTGAGAAACATCCCTACATGTGCAGAAGGTTTAAAGACCAGGTGGAGAAAAGTAATATTTAAGAGAATATGGGGCACACCTAATACACAACCTCAATCAAATGAAAGAGATTCTAGACAACGAACAGTCATATATTTTGGGCACCTTACATCTTAACTTGGGTATTTGACAATAACTTAAAATGTAGTCCACTGAACAAGAATATGGTATTTTTCTACTTAAAGCCTGCAAAAGATTATTGATTGTACATATTAGAATTATGAAGGGACTAACCAGCACCCATTGCTTCGGTCATGTTAGTACTATAAACATCAGATTTCTCCTCACTCTCTTTAGCACCTTCCATCTCAATACTGGATGTCGAACTAGGTGTGCCCTACAGAATCAAATGCAGATGATTGGGTTATCTTAGAGAATGTTCAGTAGAAGTGTAGAACTATTTTCTTTGCACAAAAGGATCCAAATGCTTTCTAACAGTTTATTGTACACCTAATAAGCCAGTTCCAGGTACTGTACGCGTAGATCCAAAACCAAAATATTAGTTCAGTTTTTCCAAACTACAAGGCAGATACATAATGTTTCTGAAAATTTGGAAAGTGAAGTAGAAGAGAATATAAACGTAAATCATATTTCCTTCTGGAAATTTTTGATATAAGAATGCTTTCTGTATGTCTTCTGATTACAAAGGAGCTACATTTATACAAAGTGGAGGTCCTATTTCCAACCATGAAGATGGCGTATGGTTAGAAAAGAAAAGGAGGAAGAGGGGAAGAATCACAAAAGAGATGCTAATCAACCAAAAATAAAATATATGGATTCCATGCATATCCTCCACTGCATCTGCAATATGGAAATGCAATATTGTGAAATATGCTCCAATATTCTGCTTTGATGAAAAAAAAAAACAAAATAATAGTGGTTGTGCCACCACATTGAGGCTAACCCATTTTTGCAGGATATCCTTTGAAATCATCTCTGTTGGTCCAGAATGGTGGTTTGGCTATCCTGAGCTTTTTCAATTTTTGACTGCGTTTTGTTTCTTGGCCTAAGTAATGATTTGCATAACTAGATGCTAGTTTTACCTATAGGATTTCTGTGATCCACATGTCATGCTATTTGTAAGGTTTAATTACTAAAATCATGCTTAGTTCCAAGTGATTTATGCTACAATAATAAAGTAATCATGATAATAGCATTGATAGGTTCTATACTTCTATTGATATAATAACAGGGTGCATGTGTGGCTGTGCTTCCATACGGTAGGATTCCTTCTGTTTTATTACTTGTTCCCACTTGATAAAAATTACAGAAATGCTGACCCTCCCAACACTGACAAAAAAAAACCCTAATGCAACTCAAATAGGTTAGCACAAAAAAATATGTGGCGAAGATTGAATTCAGTTACCATAATACTTTCTATAAGTTTCTCTTACACTAATTTGATTTTCTTTCATATTATACACTCTGCTTTAATACAACACTGAAGAAGACCAATATAAGACGATGAGCAAGTTCGAGCTTACCTTAACCAAGCAATTTCGACGAAGATCAGTAGCATTCATCAACCACTTCTCGTAATGAATTGTCTAGAAACGTTAATTTACAATCACAAACAAATCAAAAGTGATAAACATACATTAGTCCATTTAATAATATACAGAAAGTGGAAAAGGAGAAGGAGAGGGAGTTTACCGTCATGTTAACAAAGCAGGGTTGAATTGCAGATTGAATTCTGAAGCTTTGTGAAGATAAAACTGAAGACGATCTGGCAAAACTCAATCGAAAATGATGAAATGTTATAGAGAATTGATAGTAATCATCAGATGAAGTAATCATAAAACAAACCTTGGGAGATTTTGAAGGCAGTTCATCTTGGAAACAAATCTGAGAAGGAGAGGGAGGGGAGGGGGTTAGATTCTTTTTATGTGGATTGTTGTTTATATAGGTTGGTTAGATTCGAGAAAGGGTCCGCCTTTCCCAAGATTCTCTGAAATGCCATTCCTTAAGACATGCTCACGTGTCACACTCCGCATTCTCGACCACGCAATCACGTGCTATCACGCAATCACGTGCTATCACGCTTAGGCCGATGCTATTTTTTTTTATTTTTTTTAATATCATAATCAAATCAAGTTATACATAAATTTAAAAAAGTGGATTTTGATGTTGTTGTACGTAAAATGGATAAAGGTGGTATTGGCATCGGTAGTTTAAAGACGCTTAATTGGAGTCTCCTTGCTAAGTGGTGGTCGAGGTTTCTAAACGAAAATTGCAGTCTTTGGAGAGATAGTATTAAGGCGTTTCATGGTGATAGAGGGGGTATTTTTAGTGACGGTTGTAAGAAGCCGGGTGTTTGGGGAGCTATTGCTAAATGGGATACTCTCATCCATAAAGTTGGACTGTATGTTAACAACTTCTGGTCGGTTGATATCAATGGCGTTCAAAGATGGAATCTTTCCGAGGACGGAGTATTCTCGGTCAAGACGTGTCGGGGTAAGATCGAGGAAGGTGTTTTACAATCCGACGGAAGGATAACGAAGTGGAATAAATTAGTGTCCGGTAAAGTGAATATGCTTATATGGCGTCTTTCGAAATCTAGACTCCCCACTAGATGTAATCTCTCCTTAAGAGGTGTCTGGGTGAACTCGGTTCTTTGTCCTTGTTGCCTAAGTCAGCCGGAAACGGAAGTTCATCTCTTGTTTGGATGTTCCTCTACAAAGGAGAGCGGTGCTTATGTAAAGAATTGGTGGTCGAGTTTTCCTTATCAAGCTACCAACTTGGCGGAATTTTTTTCTGCAACGCAATTTCCTTTCAAAGGGAAGAGGGTAAAGGAGGCGTTGGAAGTAATTCTCATGGTGTTCATTTGGGTGATATGGACGAATCGCAATGCGCTGGTCTTCAACAAACCCCTAAAAAGCCCGGTGGTGATTTCCAAGGAGATCGTGCTCTTTTCGTATAATTAGATTAGAATTAGATCGAAATCTTGTAATACTCTTGATTGGAATGCTTGGTGTATTAGCCCTTTAGCGGCTTTGTTGTAAGTGCTAGCCTTCGGTGGTCTTTTTATAAAATATGTTGTTTCTATTAAAAAAAAATGCATTTAACAATATATAGGATGTAATTAGTCTCTCCACATTTAACGCTTAAAGCGATTATAATGCAACCCCTGTTCTTGGATTGAGTTATTCGATTGCCTTCAAACTGTCAAAAGTTCGTGTTCATGCTTACTTTAAAGGATTGTACAAACGATATACAAATTTATACAACAACAAAGATATTTCTTTAAACAAAAAAAAATGTAAAATGATAAAAATGGTCTCATTTGCGAAGGGTCGTGGGGCATTTAACAGCAGGAGTTCGTGTTAGAGACTCAATCTATAACGAAAATGAAACCACATCTACCTAATTCATAAGAAAAATGAAATTTGAGGGATCCAATTTATAACTTTCTTATGTACATACTTAAGTTCGCATTAGAATAAAAGGGTTAGATTCTAGTAAGAAGGACAATTATTATTGAGAAACGCAAGAAGAAATATTCACCCTTGAATCAGTCCTAATTGAATGTCAACACTCATGAGGTACCCCAAGACGCACCAAATCAATTATCTTCTAAAACATAATTCATAGATGTACATGAGATTAAAAATGATTAAAAGTTCAAATCTCTTTTAATGTTTCTTATCATAACTTCACTTCTCATATAATTCTTGTAGGTCATCACTTTTTTAATTATATGTTATTTAAAGAAATTGATTTTTAATCCTAAATATTTTATTTATTTGATTGTACCCCACCACTTTATTGATGGTCAAGCTCCCCTCAACCCCCCCCCCCCCACCAAATCCTTGATCATATGTCGATCATATGTAATTAATTTTTTATATTCAATAATATAAGGACCTGTTTATCATACTGCAGTTGAAGCGCCTGAAAGAGAATTTGGAGTCTTTCTGGTCAGTAATGGAAGCAATCGTCCCTACCGTCGTAAAATAAGAGCACCTGGCTCCGCCCATTCACAAGGACTCGATTCTATGTCCAAACATCACATGCCAGCAGATGTGGTCACCATCATAGGTACTCAAGATATTGTGTYTGGAGAGGTGGATAGATAGGACTAAGGGAATAATCTTATTTGGTTCGGTAATGGAATCAATAGCTTGCCCGAACAGGACCCTAGCTTTATTGCGAGCCAAAAATCTTGAGAAATTTCACTTCCTTCGGTAAATATTTATCGGTAAAATTTTACAATATCATTTATCTACCGGATGGATTTTATTCCACTAGTACGGTATCGTATAAAACAATTTACTCGGTAAGTGTTAAACTTGGTAAGAATCGTTGTCTTTACTTACCGTGTAAGACTCTCATTCTTTGTCTTCACTCTTAGTGGGTAAGATTTTTGATATTTGTCATATTCATCTGGTAAGATAATATGACTTAATAAATACTTATCTGGATAATTGTTTGATAGACGGCCCTCAAGTTTAACTTTACTTAAATTTTTACCGTTGATTATCTTATTGTATTTACAATAGTTATCATTTATAAGAGTTAAAAATTAACAAATTTACTCACAAATCATTGGGAAAATAACTTACCAACAAAAATGATTATATTCCACAAGTTTTATTTAAATTCATTTTTTCAAATATATAGATTAGAACTTTTACTTTAAAAAAATTATATCAAAAACTAATTATTATTAATTATATATCACTAAAATAAAATTGGGTTTAATAGAACACCAAAAATTTATAGATGTCTCAATATACTACTTTATAGTACTTAATAAAATCAAATAATAGACGTCATACCTAAAAGTGTTACTATAAGTTTATAGAACGTTTTTGGACATTTTAACAAGTCTTTTAAGACATTTTTTTATACAAAACACTACATTCATTGTTTTATATAACACTTTTGAAAATCATCATATACATACATCTTTTTATAAGATACTTTTTAAAATAATGTCCTAAACAATAGCTAATATGAATTTTTTATATAAAAAATGTGTTAAAAGATTTGTTACAACACCCAATAACATTCTATAAACTTATTACAACTTTTTTAGATATGATATATTATAGTTAAGTCCTATAAATTAAGTCTTATATATCCATCTATTAAGACGATTAGGCTTAGACATATTTAGGGGCTGTTTGGGATTGCTTATTTGAAACGACTTATATTTTTTCTACAAAAACACTTATCAACTTATTATAAGTCAGAAGGGTTTAACTTCTTCAAAAACTCTTTATTATCGGTTTGGCACCGGTATAAATTATTTATCTAAACACTCAAAAATACTTATTCCCGGTCTCATACCGAAATAAGTTAATAAGTTGTTTTTATAATCAATCTCAAACACCCCCTTAATATTTTTTAAACCTGATTTTATTATAGTGCATATGATAATTGTTTGGAAAATTAATTTAAATAGTCATTTTTACTAGTTGGTTTCACTTTTTAACCACTTTTTTACAAGGTTTATCAAAATAAATCTAGGTTCGCAGTTTTAATATTTTTTACACATATGTGTGAAAAATGTAATTTTGTTTTAGAGACAGGGGTAGAAAATGTAAATTGTTTTTTTTACTAATTTTTATATTATTGTTATCACTATTTAGTCTACTGATTTTTGTGTTTCAAACGATGAATGCAAAAAGTTCTCCCTATATTATAATTAAATATATGATGTTAATAGGTTATTAAGTTTATGTAATATGTGTTTGTGGTGGTTTACCAACCACTTACCCGGTAATTGTTTACTGGTAAAATATAACATTATTATTTACTTACCGGGTAATATTTTGGTCCATCAAAACGATATCGTATCCAACAATTTACCCGGTAAACTCTTACCGTGGTAAAAGTCGTTGCACTCACTTACCAGGTAAGACTTTTATTCCTTGTCTCGTTTTTACCGAGCAAGACTCTTCTTGGTCCTTGTCTCGCTCTTACCAGGTAAGATTCTTGGTTACCGTATCCATCCAGTGAGGTAGTGTGACTTGGTAATCACTTACCCAAGTAATCATTTGGTAAACGGCCCCTTAGTACCTTATATTTAAATAAATGTACATTTTTTGTTAATCAAGAAGATTCATATATGAACCAACATAATTTCACAGATAAGTTTATAAGATATTTTGAATTTTATATATGCATAACCATGATTTTTTTTTCACATATGACTATTGCCGCATATTCACAACCTTGATTTTCAGAGTCGTTCCTATCTTTTTGAAGGCCTTGTTACAAAATGAGTAATAAGGAAAATGAAATATAAAGGTTCACAATCATAACATATACTATACTAAATTTCTTACAAATTAAAATATAAAAGTTCATCTAAACTAACATCAACATGTTGATTATTAAGAGAAGGTTATGATTCTTTAGTGACAAACTTATGAAGAGATCCTTCTGAGACTTTATTATTTATGCAATTCTTTTTTCCTTTTATGTTATTGACATCTAGTGTAACATCCATTGTCCACGTGGTCCGGAGCGGACGATATCACTATCGGGACTCAATACAAAAACATAAATATTTCAGAGCTACAAATAAACTCCAAATATAGATTACAACTTTCTAAACATGCTTTACGATCTAAAATATTACATTTCAAAAAGTATTTATAAATTTAGAACATTAACATCTAAACGTGAGTTTGAAAACTCCAAAAATTGTACTCTCGATCTCAAGTCCCGCCCTATCAGTCACTAGGAACCTGCTGTGACAGAAAACAAAAAACATGGCTAAGCACAGGGTTCAGTGAACAGATCATAATATGAACTCGAAATACAATATGTAACATTGATAATAAAGCGGAAGACTTACAATTTGGTTAAACTAAACTTATAGTAAA